CATTAGCATTAGCATCTGTAACCCACAGGTCTGTGTCCTAACCATTAGGTTGTTAGAGTAAATCCCTGTTCTACATGAGTCTGACAACTAAGTAAGTAGATAAATAACTTTAAACTTTAACACATGCTCTGATAGGCCGGGATCGGATCAGAAAGCTGGACGGGGATGTCCCTATTTCTGAGAAAACTATAGCTAAAGATAGACAGACACACTGTAGATGGATGGATGGACAGCAGGACTAAAAGCCTGCTGTTCCACAGTCAGCCACCAGGGGAGGCGTATTCTGTTTGTGTCACTTATTAGCTCCAGTTTTACATCAATAAATAAATAAATGTGTTTCTAATTTGACTCTGTGCACGAAGACTGTCAATAGCCTGAAGCCTGCTGTTCCACAGTCAGCCACCAGGGGGAGGCATATTCTGGTTCTGTCGCTTATTAGCTCCATTTTTACATTAATAAATTAATAAATATGGTTCTAATTTGACTCTATGCACAGACTGTCAATAGCCTGAAGTCTGTTCTATCAGGGGAAGTTACCAGAAGCTAGATATTTGACTATTTCAGGAATTTCAGCTGGTTTCTGTAACAACTGAGGCTCCCATCTTTGATGGAAACCTAAAATGAGGTATCAGGACAGCAGAAAACTGAGACTTGGCTGGTTCTGACCCTGAAACTCCTCCTCCAGGGGACGTCTGTGTGCCAGGCGACGGCCATCGGGGCCCTGGTGATCCTCCTCTACACGTCCAGAGCCTGTTACAACCTGGTGGTGGTGGCCATGGCCCCGCAGGACAGGCCCAGCCCCTTCAACTACGGCTGGTACAGCGTCTCCGACCAGGTACCGTCACCTGGAGCTGGAGGGGGAAAGATTTAATTTAGATCCAGTGTGAGGAGAGCTAAAGGGCTTTGTCTGGCTATAAATAGATCCGTGTATTGACCTATATCTCTGCTTTGGCTTTGAGGCATTGCCCATTTAAAAGGCTTCATCAGAATCAGAATCAGAATCAGAATTAGGTTTATTGCCAAG